GGGATGGTCTAGATAATATGTAGTCCTGCCATGAGTGCAGGGGACTGGACTAGATGACCTCTCGAGGTCCCTTTCAGTCCTACGATTCTATGAACTAAGCCTTACAACAGCCCTGGGAAATTGGGAATTATCATCCCCATTTTGTAGAACGGAGGCACAGGTAAGTTTAAATTACTTGCTCAAGGTCACCAAGCAAGTCAGTTGCAGAGCCCGGAACAGATCCGAGCACCCAAGGACCGACTCCTAGTCCAGGGTTTTAACCGTTAGATGAGGTTCCTGCTCTAACAGAGCCAAAATACAGACAAAGCTAGAACCATTAAGGCAAGTAATTAGAGCAGATGTGTGTAAAATAACACGGTTTAACTCTTTAAAACTAAATTACTGACGAGGGGCTCTGGGGACTAATGGGCAGGCCTCTATCATTTAAAAAAGAAGAACAAAGCAGGTTTTTTTGAAGGAACACAGTCATCTGAAACTAGCCAGCCGGGTATGCACATAATGCCAGGCGCCCCGAATTTCCCAGCTGCAAAGCACAGATGGGGCATGGATGGGCAGAGGACTGTTGATGCCGAAGGACTGGTAACATCAGAGGCTCAATTCAGTGGCTTCTGGTAACCAGCATTTGTGATCTGCCAGTGCAGAGGAGCGTGGGCAACAAGCGTAGAGCAGAACACGATGCCGCTTCCAAGGGTGGCAGGCCAACCGGTGGCACCGCAGGCATGGGTCACGCAAAACCCAACAGCGTTAACATCACCTCGCAGAAAACCATGGGGCTGAGTCATTCATTTAGAGATCACCTCTGCCGCCAAGTGAGACTGAGCGGCATTGAGTCCAATCACATCATAAAGCTGAGCGGATGCACCTGAAACGGACTCTCGCCCAAGTCTGCCAAGACATGGCGCTTCAGGAAGAGACTGAAGGAAGTCTGTACATTCAGTGTTTATTACGCAGCTCTAGAATTCTGGGCATCAATCAGCATGACTGGCTGCCAGTCTTCTGCCAATAACTTTGTGGTAGATGGGCCATTAGAACATTCTTTACCTAATAGACAAGCTGTCCATTTCGACAGGTTTACTGCCCTGGTGGTGAAAAGTGACTCGTCACATAACAGCTCCTGTTCAATGAAGAGGATCACATTGCCTATCATGTCTTGTTGCTTGTTTGTTCAACAAGAACATCTGACATTAGGCAGGTTTTCAAAGCAAAACCGTAACACAGGAATGATTCGTAAGGAATAACGACTATCATTACAGTCACAGTATCCAAGCTCTGTCTTACCAAGGGCCTCGTTAGCAAACAGCCAGGAACTGGAAGACTGCATGTGATTTGCACAGAGTGCAGCCAGGAAACCCTAAGTTTCCTGCCTCCCAGCGCTGGCTCTAATCACTAGAAGATGGCTACCCTGAATTGTAAACAGCTCACATCGGGTTCATGGGATAAACTTTGGCTGTTCCTCTGTTACAGACCCGGTATTTAATTTATGTTTTTCATTTATAACATGCCCTGAGCACACTCCCTCTACGTATGGGCAACACTATAGCTATATCTCCATGTTGCTCTGTTACACAGTAACTCGCTATTTAGATAAAATACGAGTTATTTGCTAAAGAAATTAACCTATCAAATGGCTGGAAGTCTCACATGCCATAAGAGACCAGGCCTGGCAAAGCTGAGGGAGGAATTCAATGAAGTGCACAGGATTAATTTGCTGTGTATCAAGTTTTGCACAATCTTGTCACCATTCAAGTGCCCGGAAAAGAAATCAATCTGTTAAAAAAAATTAAAACATAAATGATAATTTGCAGTGAAACTTGCCCATCGGGCTGTTTCTTCTCTGCATCAATCTTGCTGGGTCTTTCGTGTCTTGTTTTTCTGCACAATGAGCATATCCCTCTGAAGTAAAACACCTCTCTGTAGAAAGCCTGCATTTGGTGAAGGCGCTATTTCTGTAATGGGCAATGCTTGAGAGCAGCATTTTTACCTACTCAGATTAATGCCCGGCACCTTGACTGAAGAAAAGACTTATTTAGCTGAGGGATTCTGCCAGCAGTCTGAAATAAAAGATGTCCCGTTCTAGTCATTCAATTACCAGTGTATTCTCATTAATCACAGCCACGGAGATGGGTTTCACCATATACGAGATTGGACGTTTGCTGGGCCATTTCTCTCCACAATGATCAAGAGGGGTTTGTAATATGTACAGAGCAGTTAACTTGCAGACACGGAGCTGCTTGGGGCATTTAACCTCTGTCAGGCCACTGTCTACCCACTCTGCACTTCGGGCTGCAGGGCCTTGCTAAAGACATGTGGTACGGGCTGGATGTTTGTTGCATTCAAATAACCACCACTCCCATACCTTCCTCTGCAGCAAGGAGTCTACTGGTGGGGAGGGGCCGGGCAATTTCTAGAGAGAGGAAGGAAAAGCAGATGAAAACAGGAGGGGAGGTGGACAGAGGAGACTAACGGTAGGTTAGGGAGTGGAGTCTCACAAAAGGAGAGGTGCCCGTGCGTGTCAGCTCAGGACCCACACAGTGGCTCTCTCTCTAGGCAGCAAGGACTGAGTGGCACAACTGCAGCATGAGTTGAGGAAAGAAACGTCGTTCACGTCACTCCTTAGTATCCCTTCCCACAGCACAGACTGACCCACAGAGCCATATTCAAATGTCCTTGGCAACTGGGAGAATACAACGAAGGTCCCTGGAAGAGCCCTAAAACAATGAAGAGGGAGACTCAAAGCAGGGAGAGAGACAGACTGCAATGTCAGGGTGAGGAAGAGAAACAAAATTCCAGGGGGACGTATGGATGGCAGAGGGAAGAAAAGTAATAACTGAGGAAGATGAGGTAGGAGATTCATTTTGGATCCCAAACTCATTATTAAACAGCATGAGCAGCCAAAAGGACCTCCCCTTTGCCCACGGCCCCCTTGCCACGTGATGATCCCTGGTTATGAGGCGGGGGATGGAAGTCTCTCCCTCCCGGAGACTCAATTCAACCCCAGTTTGGGTCGTTAAACTCAGACGTCCCATACACACGTACCGGGACCTACGCACACACAGCACGTGCTCTGTCTCTCACATCCAAAACAACACGCAGACAGAAACAGGTTAGTTTACGGAAAGACGAGCAGTGAGGGAAGCCTGGGATATACAAGGAGGAGAGTCACTTGTACATATCCCAGAGAGGGAGAAAACACAACAGGGACATTAGCTGCAGCGGCACATCACTAGTAAGCGTTTGGGGGAAGCTCCATCCGAAAGGTCGCTCTAGCACCGTGTCTGTAACTCATGCAGGCGACCATCTTGTTTCCCTTGAAGTCTGAAACAGGGTGACCACTCTGCCGATACACGGCATTTTGTTAGAGGACACTGCATAGCCCCATGGATTTACTTTAACAGAAGCAAAACATGAAACAAGTGACAAGACTCTAGAGACTTCCTGCTCCAACATTTGTGATTCCAAATGGGTCCCTATGTTAACATCTCCAACACCAACACTTATAGGAATCTTTTCCCAAAATCTATTCTAATTAGGTCGTTATACTGCACCCATCTCTATGGTATCTGAGCCCAAACAATAACAAAGAAGCTGGGTGCACTGCACGCACAGCACTAGAACTCTAGCTCTTATACAGTGCTTTCCATCAGTACAGCATTATTCCCATTTTACAGATAGGGAAACTAAGGCAAAGACAGAGGGGAAGTGACTTGCCCAAAGTCACCCAGCAGGCCAGTGGCAGGAATAGAACCCAAGTCTCCTGCGTCCCAGTCCAGTACTCTGCCCACGAGGTCATACTGCAATACAGAGGGATTTGTGTCGCTCTTTGGAGCTGCCGCGGGTGGCACTGTTTCGTGGAAGGTTTGGATGCAATTCAAGAAATTGAGATTCTTAGTTCCTGGTCATTCTTGCAAAGTGTGGCACTAGGTTCCCTCAGAATTCCAGCCTACCTTCTCCACTGGTGTGAAGTGCAGACACACAAACCTCTGCTCCGCCCGCGTGGAGACAAAGAGCTCAGGCTGACGCATCTGACCTCTGCCAGCTATTAAAGGTCACCGGGTTTCCAGTTCATTAGCCAGTGAAATGCTAGGACTGGATGTGTGTGTTTAATGACCGTTTTACTAAGATTACTAGAGCGAATGGAGCATTTGGTTGCATCAGGGTCCATTCAAGTGCATGTCAAACCTCCCACTTCTAACCCGTCTCATGTTAGAAGGCGGATGACACAGTGCTAAAGGCTAAGCGGGTTGCTGTTTGTTACTGCATGGCTGTCACAGGTTGAGGACCACCCCACCCTGCTCTCTCTCCATAATCAATCTCCCCTTTTTCATGATATTCTCATTACAGCTTCTGCCCAGCTTCCCTCCCTGGAGTGGAGACATCGTGTATTTACTCTTGCTCTGGAGTTTGACCCTTTTAGTATTTGAATATCACCTTGCGAGCTGCTCTGGAGAAAGGGAGAACTAGGCGGAGCAGTGGAGTGCTTCTCCTGGCCTACCCGCAATTAACATGTCACCGATACTAAACCAAGACATGCTCTGGAGAATACACAAACAGGATGATGTATGGCTGCATACAGCAGGCCATAAAGATGGACCTTTTAACAGGATTCACTGAAACTGGAGGGCAACACAAAGACCCTTTTGAAGAGGAGCCAGGGTATTTTAAAAAGCACTGGTCCTTGTAAAAGGTCCTTGCAAAATAAAAGCAACCCCTTAGTCCCCCTTCCCAGTCAGAGCACGCATGAAACACACCTACCAACGTACAGCGGGATTCTACAGCAGGTGACAGCATCCCTTTTACTAAGGGAAGAATCTGGCAGCAAACCGGCCTGGAAGTAAAAACGGCCAAGTGTTCTGGGTCTTTCTGATTTGCCTTTGGGCTCAGGGCGGCAAGCACCAAGGAGAGTGAATAACCAAGATCTTGCCACCGGCACAGACCATGAATGGTTCCTCCAGTGGTTCGTTATTTCCTACCAGCTGAAAGTGAGTAGAGACAGTGCTTACCAAGCTGTCCAGCCCGCCTCCCAGGAGATCCACAGCACCCATCTGCATGGAGGATACTTGGGGTACATTCACTGGGGGGCCCAGGTCAAGGTTCAAAAGGTCACCCAGAAGGTCACCCTGCGATGGAATAACCTGAGGCTGCTCCAAGTTTGTAGTGGTAGTGGTTCCCACCGGGCTGTCTCCCGCATCAGTGCTGCAAGGGGCGAGAAACAAAACGAATAAAGGAGAATGGTTAGTCACCTTTGTTACTGGCTTTGGAGCACCAGGGAGAAAACAAGGCAGAAACAGGTGACCCACGAACAGTAGCCAAACAGTTCAAAGTAATAGTGTTCCATACGGACAACTGACAAACCAATTCTGTTACAACCCCAATCGGAGGTGACAAAACTGGAGCTTCAGTACATGCTCTGAGATCTGAGGACCTTCCGCTGGCCAGACAAGTCCCACAACTCAAGAAGAGGGAGATTTCAGAGGTAAAAATCAGACAGAAACCTCAGATTCAGCACAGCTGTTATTGGGAGGAGTGGCCACAAACTCCTTCAAAATAGGAGCCATGAATAAAACACAAACTAAAACATAATAAAGATTTGCCCTACTGAGAGGGATTCTAGGGGAGATTAATATGATCCTGTCTACTGGGCCTACGAAGGAACGTACAACCTTGGGGAAAAATGCACAGGTTTCGCTAAGGAGAAAGCTTATTATTCTAGCGGGGACTACCAAGTAAGTTTCCTTAGAGGTCTGTCACTCTAGTTGCCCCAGGACCCAATGAGAAATTTACAAGAAAGATCATGCAGATCAGTTCAGCGGATGTTAAAACACAATAAAATATGCTCAGAACATCTCCCCACACTGGACTTTCTCCTTAAAAGCTTTTTGTCCATAACTTGGGGTTTTCCTACGAGACTCAAAGGAGTAAAGAATGACCTGTTTATTAAGGACATGGATACATGCTAGAATGCTGGTTTTTATTGCCCTGGGACTACAGCAAGAGGGTTACATTTTCCAAAACTGCCACCTGAATTAATATATTTGGGCTTTCCCAGGACAACAGCATAACTCCAGGGTCCTGTGCCCTAATCTAACCAGTCCCTTCTCTAGCCTCCTCTGCTTTTGCCACTCCCACAGCAGAACAGCAGCAAGCGCTTGTTGGAGCACAGGTGACTGTCTACCTTTGCAGACAGAAACCTCCCACCCACGTCTCCCACCTGCAGTGGCGCAGAGAGGAGATGGTGCAACAGTGTGGACAAATCCCTGGAAGCTAGAGAGCGGGTGATGCTCCACCTGAGTTGTGCACAACTCCCTCTTCCGAGCTGCTCCTCTGGCCCTCAGTATTTCCTCCACGAGGCCCTACAGGTAACCCCTTTGGTACATATGCGGGAGCATGACCAGAAACATCTGACCAGCTGTGGCTGGGTGCTGGGACACAGATAAATGCCAGCACAGTGCTTTGTTTATGTGACAATATACTCCCAAATACATGCAATACCCTTCACGCTGCTGACACCAACTATTACTAATTTCTCATAGGACTATGCCCACAGGTCTCATAGGACTTAACCAGCTATTTCTGCCCACCAATCCAGACAATGGGGGCACGGTAACCCTCATAACATGACAACACAGACCTCTGCACAGCTCATTCCACTCCTCCTCAATGTCACTATGCAGTTTGAGAGGGGAAAAAAACTCATTAACTTAAGCTGGTGGCAAACAGCATTGCTAAGGGGTCCTGCTTCGAAAAGGCGTTATTCGTAGCATAAAAGAAACCAAGATCCCACCCAAACTACTGGGTGAAAAGCTAAGCCACTATCTTCCACTAGGCAACCTTAGCTTGCCGTATGCAAATGAACAGACTTCCCAGTGTGGTCAGCATTAGGAAAACGCGAGTCAGTTTTCTAGCATTCAGTAAGAGGACACCCTGTGCGCATGAATTCACTCTCCCCACAGCAGTGCCCCCGACAGGCTGCTTATCATGAAGCCATGATTGAAGGCGGTAATTGGGCTCACAGCAGCAATGCTGCACAGGAGGCCGTTGCATGAGCTTGATCAATCTGTCCTTCGTCTGGGAGTAAGGAGGATCGTTAGAGTCAGGGCCGGCTCCAGGCACCAGCTTAACAAGCAGGTGCTTGGGGCGGCCAAGGGAGAGGGGCGGCACCTGCAGCAATTCGGGGGCGGCAGGTCCCTCACTCCCTCTAGGAGCGAAGGACCTGCCGCTGAACTGCCGCCGCCGATCGCGGCTTTTTTTTGTTTGGGGCGGCAGAAATGCTGGAGCCGGCCCTGGTTAGAGTAATGGACTCTCTGTTAGGCTGACCTCAAGCAGAGGAAACATGGCTTGCCCTGGAACGCCAGCACTCACTTTTAATTTATGAAGGATGCCGGAGCCCGGCATCAGAATTTAAGGGATTTCTTAAAATTTTCATTTCCAGCTCTTTTTTCCTACTGCTGCTGCTGCTGAAGCCAGAGCTGTTTTCGGCCCAGACAACAGGTCATTAAGTAGCAAACAATACCAGAGCAATGCAGAGATATAAAACATAGCAACCTTGAAAGAGCAGAGTGGGTGGGCTGGCTGAGTAACAGCTGCCAGTGTCAAGTCAGATAAGCAATGTGCACTGGGAGCGGATAAAGATAGAGCTCTCGCTGACAAGTTGACTTGGTTAGACAAGTCAGCTTCGGCAATGATGTGAAGAGCACTGCACAAGAGAGCTGGTCACACTGTGGATTTGAGCTGCTTATCGGATCAACACCTCCACTATTCTGGAGAGCCTGTGGGTGGGAATAGTACCTGAGCAGTGCAGCCATAACTTCCCCTACCTCCTTGCACACTAGTACTGTACTATACATCAAAACACAGGTCTCTGAAATGGGCTTGTTACCGCAGGCCCTGGGGCAGTCCTGCCAGGTGATGTTTCATAAGCAGGAAAAAGGCAGTTCAACATCCCCAAGTCAGTCAGGTTACTGCTACTCTTAACAGCTAAAAGAGTTTCTGTATGCATGGAAGGATGGTGTTAGAAAACAGCAAAGAAACAATTGCCTATATAGACTTATCAGTAAGATGGCAAAAAAGTACAGCGCTCCAGAAGTCACTTCCCAGGTTTTCTGGTACACACTGCCGTGAAAAGTGAGCTTAGATCCCGTACCGCCTGTTGCAAGCAGATCTGCAACTGTAATTAATACAGTTCGCAAGCCGGAGTGCTCACCTGAGAGAGCAGCCATGGTAACAAAGTGAGCAGCAATACAGCAAGAATCCCTGCGGATTGGTAACACTCACTGCTGGATTCCAGAGCATCAGACAATTTCTCAGGCTGCTATCCCAGGGTGGGCTTTTTTTGGTTTGTTCTTTAACTGTAGAGAAATGGTGTGATACCCAGGGAACAACCCAAACCATTTTGATTGTCACAGGGTATTTCAGGCTTTCCACCATAGTTCAGACATCGATCTGACCTCATTTTGGCCCAGGCCAAGCTGCAGTGGTTGTGACCAATGGTTTTCTCCATGCTCCGTGCTTTCAAAGATTCCAAGATTCAGAGAGAGATCTTGGCTTTTTCTTCCCCACTTTGCATTCCCCACAGCAGGAGAGGCCAATAGCGTAATTGGCGGTACAAGAAGGGAGACACTTTCCACATGACAAAGGCCTCTAAGTCCCGCTTTCCCCCAAAAATCTTTCATACCATCACAGAAATGTACACCTCCCACTGGCTGTGTGCACAACTACTGGGTTTGGCTGGTGTGTTTCTCCTCCTGCCAGACCTGCACCACTTGTTGAAAGCTCTTATTTGTCCAGCTCCTGTATCAGACCCTCCTCCCCGTGTGCTCTCAAAGAACTGTGTGAGCGTCTCTTTCCCCCTGCCCAACAGCTAACAGATTCATCTCTAGGATGCTTCCCATCTCCTTTGGTCTAGAAGCTCAGAGGCTACAACTATCACAGGACAGGCTCTGAGATGGCTCCACGAATGCTTTGTGGACATCTCTGCAACTGGAAAAAAAAATCTAGCTTTTGTAGCAGGCCCTTGCATCTTTTTAGTGGGCTTGTTCGGAGGAAAGAAAACAGCAGCCCTCTGACACCCTCCTCGGCTGCTCCCGGCTTACCTTCCATGGTGAATCGGCAAGTGCTTGCGGTGGATTCCATGGCTGCCCTCAACAAAAGCGTTGGGCGGTTTGTGGTACACGGAAGCCAGTGACCCGATGTGGCAGATCAGCTCGTCCAGCAGAGTCGGCTCGATCAGGTCAGTCTCCTCAGAAATCAGAGGTTTTTCCGATAAGACCACTTCTTTGGCAGTCACGGGATCCGTGGAGAGAAGGCGCCAGTAGATATAGCCACGATCCCGCAGGTCCGGGTTGTCCGAATCCTGAGACAAAGCACTGCGTTACTCAAGGGGTTGAACAGGCTTGACTACTGTAACTATATCCTGCTTCTGCAGTAACCCTGCTTTCTTTCATTGAAACTACCCACTGGAAAAGCAGCCATGACACGGCTATAGATGCTATCGACAGACTGCTAGTCTGTGGCAATCCCATCATCCAGAGGCCTAGTCTTCACTTACCGGCTGGTCCGGCGGCACGCCATCGATGTTCTGGGATCGATTTATCGCGTCTGGTTAAGACGCAATAAATCGATCCCGGATCGATCCCGGAAGTGCTCACAGTCGGCGCCGGTACTCCAGCTCGCCGAGAGGAGTACGCGGCGTCGACGGGGGGAGACTTCCGGCCGCGTCTGGACCGCGGTAAGTTCGGACTAAGGTACTTCGAATTCAGCTACGTTATTAACATAGCTGAATTTGCGTACCTTAGTCCGAAGTCCGGACTAAGTCGGGACCAGGCCTTAGTAACAAAAATTGCAGGGTCTGACCCCTTGCGCACATTCCCAAACACAGCTAACCTATGTGGTCAGAGAGGAAAACCTTAGAACTTACATCTAATGGAATTTAAGAGGGATCAAGTCCTCAAGGTTACTCAGCACAGAAGTTGACGTCATGCTTTAGAACTGACCTCCTGTAAAGTATCACAATTTCATTTCAAATGTGATCTTCAAAACGTCCTGAAGGACACAGTCAAGACAGAAGGACAGGGGAAGGGGATCAGATTGACTCCTTCAGCCACATACTAATAGAATATGCATGATACTGTGCATCATGAAAGACAATGATCAGGGATTCCTGGAAATACGTCTTACCCAAGGACATTGGTGGAACAAGACACAACGCTACAGGATGGGGCTGATTTGCCTTTAATCATCTACCTTTATATCGAGAGCGTTTGTATGCCAGAAAGGTCTCATTTATTCCTCCATTTAGTTAATAAAATATATATGAGAAGACACAAACTGAATCGATTGTTAGGGCTTTCTTCCGTTTTCCAGGCCTCCAGCTGTCAACGTCTGTGTTTTATTGGAGATAATTCTTTCCTAGCATGAAATTGACATTCCTTTTTCTATTTTTTTTTTTAAACTAAAAGCGCTGCTTAAAAAAACAAAGCAAACAAATGGTGTCCGCTGATCACCCAGGCTGGAGTTTAGCAGCATAACGTCGATAAGTGCCTGTGAGTTTTCACCATAGAGCTTTGGCAATATGTCTAACTCTCTACGTGTCCTTATTCACGCACCCAACCAGCCTCCCCCTTTTCCAGTTGTGTGATCCCAGACCTCTGACTGGCAAAAAATCCCCCTCCCCCGCCAACTCAGAACTTTCTCCAGCAGGCAGTGGACAAGTACCCATTTGTAATGAGATTGAGCTGGTTAAACTCATTTCACTTGCAGTGATCTCAGGTTTTCAGAGGTCAATTGCTAATGCCTCTCGAACTTTGGCACCTTGCTTGGTGAGCTGCTCAGCATGATGGTGGACTTTTTTTAAACCCTTTTGATCTCAACCAGGGCCAGCTCCAGGCACCAGCCTGGTAAGCAGGTGCTTGGGGTGGCCGCTCTGGAGAGGGGCGGCACGTCCAGGTATTCAGCGGCAATTCAGCGGATGGTCCCTCACTCCCGCTGGGAGCAAATGACCTCCCGCCGAATTGCCGCCACAGATCGCGATCGCGGCTTATTTTTTTTGGCTGCTTGGGGCAGCCAAAACCCTGGAGCCGGCCCTGATCTCAACAAGAGATATTGATTCATCCTATACATGTAGTCACCTGCTTAAGGTCAAACAGGGCCTTTATGAGGGTAGATGAAGGAGGGAGTTTGAGGGGAAGATCACTTGCTCCAGACTGCCTTTAAATACATTCAGACTCAAGTCAGAATGCTTCTTCCGAAACAGCTTTCCCATAGCAAACAGAACCGTGGGATTTGAACCGGAATGGGGGGGGGGGGGGGGAGGAGGGGACACTCAGATTTTCCTCTCCACTTTCTTTTCCTACCCTGCCCGTGAGAGACATGCAAAGACCAACGATATCTTCTAACCCGAGAAGAGAAACGTGCCCATTCTTTCACGCTAAAGTGAAAAACAGGGATCTCTACCTAGGAATCAGAGCTCAGAACACCACCACACTAAAGGGCCTATTGCTAGCAATGCCCTGTTATTCATATGAAAATACAATAAACCAGACTGAATCAACGTTTGTGAAAAATAAGTAGCCTATTATGACCCTAGGGTGCCTTTTAAGTGTTTTGTGACTCAGCAGAGTAGGTTTTGGGATCTGGGATATTAGCCCATCATTCAAACCGCCACCACAATTAGCACATTTCTGAGCAGCCTGGGACCAAAAGAAATTCTCATTCTTGTGGGTTCAGAACTTGGCTTACTTTCTGCTGTAGCATCCATTAGTGAGGAAGGGTTTGCCACCAGTCCCATCTCTCCCTGCTCTTCCACCCAGCGTATGATTTTAGCCACAAACCATTTCCCCGGAGGAGGAAATTCTTTGGATTCTTACAGAACTCTCCCATCCTGTGCCTTACTTACTAATGAAGAGAAAACACCAAGTGAGGGCTGAGAAAGAATTAGGTAGCAGCTGAATGAGCATAAGAGAACTGATACAGAGTGCTTTGCAAACTGGGTTCCTGTAGATCAAAGCCCTCTTCCCTGAACGGGGAGAAATCAGGTGTGCATGACGACATCCTTGAGTCTTGCCTCTTGGTGCACAAGACTGCCCTGGCACTGCCAAACTGGTACAACACCAAGCTGCCTGCAACCATGGTGCACAGACAGCACGGCTTACCAGCACCTCGTCTCACTGAATGGCTTGGCTTACCTGCGTGGCCAGGCTCAGGACCTGCTGAACCAGCTCCTGCGTTTCTGAGGGCTTCTTTAAGAACAACTTCACGATAGCAGTCAGCAGGGTGAGCTGCACCTAAGATAAAGCAGGGACACAGCGAAGAGATTAAATGAGCATCACTGGCATCAGTGCTGCCTCAACGTTGGGATCAGCATGGGGGGTAGTGGAGTCCCGTGTTGCATACCAAGATTGTGGATGCTCGTTATAGTGTTTTAATGCCATGGCCGGCAACAAGCAGCTGCTAATAGTCAAACAAATGACATGCAAATGTGGGTGTTGCCTTCCCATGAAGCATGTTAGTGTCTTACCCAATGGGTTAGCAGCTCAAATTGGTTTTAGCAGCTTGTCCTTTGTAAGTCCATGTCACAAACCATGTATTCATTTCAGCAGCCACGTGAAACATGCTGTCAGGACAGCAGTGATCCCAGTGCAGACTACCCTAGAGTTTACACCAGCACAATCTCTTAGTCCCATGTGGGACAGGGTCAGGCCAGATGGCTATAGAGAGTGATAGAAGGTAGATACATTAGCCCCAGATTAAGCAGGTCCCTTTTCCCTGAGTAAGATAATGGGCTGTTCCAGAACAATCAGGAAGTTGCTGGAACCAATTAGGACAGGCTGGCTAATCAGGGCGCCTGGTTTAAAAAGGACCTCACTTCAGTTAGTGAGGTGTATGCGAGGAGCTGGGAGCAAGAGGCGCAAGGAGCTGAGAGTGAGAAGGTGAACGGCTGGAGGACTGAGGAGTACAAGCGTTATCAGACATGAGGAGGAAGGGTCCTGGGGTGAGGCTAAAGAAGGTGTTTGGAGGAGGCCATGGAGAAGTAGCCCAGGGAGTTGTAGCTGTCAGGCAGCTGTTACAGGAGACACTGTAGACAGCTGCAATCCACAGGGCTCTGGGCTGGAACCCAGAGTAGAGGGCGGGCCCGGGTTCCCCCTAACTCCCTATTGGCTATAAGAGGTTAACTGAGTGAACAACAGGTTTGAGCCACTGGCAGAAGTGGCCAAACTGAGGGCTGCCATGAATCTCTGAGGTGAGCAAACCCGCCAATAAGCGCAGGACCCACCAAGGCAGAGGAGGACCTTTGTCACGCATGGCGAATGGGGCAGTTATTTTAAGACCTATCGGGCTAATGTACATCAGGTTTCTCCTCTGCCCAGAGCAAAATCCACCTATCTGATGCACTGATCAATATTCTAGGAAGAAGCAAAACAAACCTTTTAAATCATCCTCCAGAGAGCCAAGAAGGTCATTATTCCAGCCTCAGACTTAGGGTACCCCAGGCTGTTTAAATGTGACATATAGGGCTGGTTGAAATTTTTCCACCAAAATTGTATGACGGAAAATTGGGTTTTTGGCTAACAAAGTGTCCCTCCAAAAAAGTGTCTGCTTTCCACATAAAGGTTTGATTTTTGTCACAAAACCAACATTAAAAAAATGAAATAGGCTGATTTGGAGATGCTGCTGTGGTGCCTCATGGGAGTTGTAGTTCGGTTGCTTAACGTCCCCATTCTCCTTTATGGGCTGCACTCCGTGGCCAGACTGTATCTCCCACTGTGCATCAAACACCCTTCTAAAGAGGAGGGGACATGGGTGCATGATGGTAGATGCAGTCAGACAAGAGAAACTAGCCGATGGATGAGAATGGGAGCATGGGACACCCAAACTACGCTTCCCATGAGGCACGGCATCAGCATTCCCAAATCAAGAAGTGTTTTGATTTTTGAATTTTAGCCAAAAATATCAGTTTTCTGGGGGGGAAGGGGGCATTTTTCCAACCAGCTCCACCAACCCAACAGTCTGCCACTTGTATACACTGCATGAGAACCTGAGAGATGGGGCGATGGGCACAGTTTTACCTGGGTGCTTTCATCATGGAAGCCCTCCAAAAAGCTCTCCAGCAGCTCATCCGCGTTGTCAATTCTCTCTGCGTATTCGCCCACTATCCAGATCATGGCAGCTCTAGCATCTGGCTCATCCAGGGAGTCGAGGTTCTCGCATAATGTGGCAATGATGCTCTCGTACCTGATTTACCAGAGCACAGTCATGATCAAGGTCAAATCAAAGCATTACGTAACTGTCGCCAACGCGCATCGGGCTGTTAACGGCAAAGCACCCTGACCCAAGCCAAAAGGACTTACATTTTTATGATCCACAAGAGACGCATAACAAGGAGATTAATTACCTCAAGGAAATATTCCTACACACTCCCCTTCCAAAGGAGAGTGTGTCAAAGGAGGTAGATTTCAAGGGCGCAAGAGCTTTGTAATTTTTTCCCCTCCTTGTAGCAAGGCTGTGCAAGAGAGAAACTCCAGGCACAGAGTTGCCTTCATTTCTCTCTTAAAAAAAAAAAAAAAAGGATCTTTGATTCCACAGTTCAAATCAGCTGAATCGCTTCCCTTGAGTCTGTATCAGATCCTGCATTTTCACTGGCTGGAAATTCTAATCTGTGTATGATGCACCCCCAGCCTCTAACGGGTTAGCTGGGACATGGCCATTGGCATGTGATCCTAGGTTTAATATTCTGTAAGTGCTTTCCCACGCTCTGCTGATTATCCTGATGGTGCGGAGGGCATCTACCCTGGCACTGAGGAGGTTAATCATTAGTACCAACTGATCCTGGAGACTCAGCTGAAAGATACTGATGCATTATGCCCTAGCTGAATGGACAAGAGCCCCTCGCACAAAAGAGCTAGAAGGGTGTACTGGCCCACCCTGTGATAACACTAAGCGGTAGGAAAGCCCATACGCATTTCATTCAGTACCTCTGCCTGGAATCTCTTAAAGTGAAATGTGTTTATGAGCTTCCTACCCGTGCCAGTCATCCTGCCCATACACCAATAGTAAAATCAGACAGCAATCTGTTTGCAATCCAACATTAGAGTCCCTTTGTACCAGAGTCCGAACGGGTGCTGCTGTTCAGAGGGATGGCCGCCCCATGCACGAAAATCAGTTATACTAACAATATGAGCTGCTAGCTAGGCTGTGCCAAGCAAAACCTAGGTTGTTTTCCGTTACGACATTACACCTGCGGTACTTGCACGTACTTGTTGGGATACTTGCGGAAGATGTCCCTGATGACAACAATGGCCTCTTGGACAACGTAGTTGACCTTGGTTTGGATGAGGTCCAGCAGCGTGCTCACGCAGCGCTCTGCGGATTGCTGAGGAGAGGAGAGACGCGGTACAGTCAGACGACAGCTGCAGTTCCAGACAAGCCAAAGAAACCGGACAGGCTGTGGAACACTTCCGCCCAGCACACTGCATGTAACTGGAGTGCAATGCACCAGGAGCAGGGGCAAGACAATGGGGCTGTACTTTAGCTACTCTCGCAAGACAAAAGATGGTAACCAGTTCAGAACACGTGTATGGACTTCCGGAGCATGTTCCATATGGTGATCCATGCCTGTGTATTACAGGGAATTCAGCGCTTTACTCAATAGAAATATCAATTCTTTGACCCCCTACTCTTGCCAAAGGACAAAGTCATGGCTGAAATGATTCTGTACCAGCAGGTGGTTGGGTCTGCATACAGGCAGAAGTTATATGAATAGATACTATCTGCAGCGATACTTATGCTATCCCCTTGCTGGTTAATATATAGAACAGCCTACTACCCATGCCCTGCAGGAGTTGCTTATCACTGTTCAGACGTGAGTGGGGTACTTGGACAGGGGCTGTGCATGTGTTGGCGGGGAGGGGAGAGAGGAAGTAAAAAGCCATCGCTAGGGCTGGGTTAGTAGCACAAAGCAAGCACCGCAAGGGCAGTGACAGACCCAGGACTGGAACGAGTTTGCTGGACCCTCATGAAGATTAGCTATTGGCAGGGCATCTTACTCAATAACTAGCTTCAAACCCCAGACTCGGACTCCATAAAAGTGGCAACAACTGACCCCTAGAATGCTCTCCGAGCCATACGGCGACCCTGGAAACTAGAGCTGTATTCATTAGGAGAGAGGAGATAAAGGGATACCACGAAGCAGGATGCCACAAAAGAGCTAAGTGGCTCAGACACCAGAGGGCCTGAAATGAAGATAGCCAACTGGGCGCTAGTGGAGTGCATGTGATGCCTCATTACACAGCAGGTGATTAATGTGAGGAACAGATTGCTCAAGGCAGTACACAAGCAGCCCCCATAAATATACTCATAAAGCATTCAGTATAGGGTACAAACAGTACTTACTCCAGTGGATTTGCGATTTGAGTGAACGACACAATGTCAGAGCATTGGGGGAGGGTGGAAGAGGAACAAAAGGGGATTCAATCAGGAAAACTGGAAGCTCAGTTTGACAATGGGCATAAATCTCTAAAACAAACCCCAGCCTGACCTAAAGCCCTGACTTGGGCAAAGCAGAGAATGAGTCTCACCCATGCCATTTGCCTCAGTCCATCTCGGCATGCTTGCACTGAAAGCAGAAGACCTAGAAATTCCCAGTGACAGATACATGCTGAATACAAATCTCCTCTATTCACCACATTAGGTCTCCTTATTATTGCTCGATATGTACCACACTATTAAGATGGCAGGGACAAAGCAATCTGAATTCTTGTAATTTAAAGGTGTCTGCCTTGATTACAGGCTGCTCCGATCTCTTCTCTCACTTGACAAAACATCATTTGAGGCCTGTCAACCAGAAGAGTCTCAGTGCAACCAATTTACAAATCTCATGCAGGCAGACCTGTGGGCTGTCTCTTCTGCACAAGGCTGTGCTTGGGGATCTCAGCAAGGCCCCAGGCCAAATACCATCTCTGCCAGCCAAGTAGCTATGCAGGATTGGGCTATTCCCCCCCACCCCTGTATTGCCTGCTGGTGGATGTGGGGCAGTTCCAAAGCTTCACTCTGTGGGAACAAAGACCTCTTCTATTTTTTACTATATGATCTTAAAGAGACATGGGTCAGACTTGGGAAGTTCTTCATTGTCCAAGCGCTGAGAAATGCAAACAGTTAACAGGAAAAGCAAGTCAATGTTTGTAATTCTTTCCTGTTGAACACTGAAGTGCGATCTATTACACAGGGGACAACATTCATTGTTTAAATATGTGCAATTGATTTTTAGCGTGAGCCTCCCTTGAAAGGGAGCGGCCAGAAGGGGATTTGTTCAGGGAAGCAGTCCTCAAATCCCCATGGCAAGATGCACCCCCTCCTGTGGATGGTTAGCTATTTTTAAGATGGGCATTTCAGAGGTTCCTGCAGGTGGACACTTTACAAAAAAAACATACATCCTTTATTAAACTGGCCAGTTATAGGAGCCAGCACTAAAGCAGACAGGGTTTTCATCTGGGGGGGGATACGAGTTAAAAAAAACAAAAACAACTGTGCTATATAGAAACCAAATGAAACCCAGTACAATTCTGCAGAGTCCTACAAACTGAACAATAGAGGTACTATGACTGCAAGGTTTGTTAAAATGCTGCTGGTTTCTTAGATTGGACCACAGTCCACTAATAACAGGACTCCCTTCTCCCTGCCTCCCCCCCGGTCCCTAGTGCTTGTTACGTTAACTGCAGCTCTGCTACTTTCATGCAGTCTCTTCTTAGTCCTCTCTCAAGTTTACGCCTTTGGAGCCATGTTGAGGCTTCATTTGTACTCCTCCGATCACAGCTGCGGCTGGCGTGCTTCCCTTTCGCCCTGCAGCTGAGACGCCAGCCTCCAAACCCTCGCCAGATACCGCAACTGCTCTAAGTCTCCAGTCACAGGAGATACAAATTTATTCCCAAGCCAACTCTTCTAGAAGAGACACAATTAGATGAAAGGCAGGATTCCTGAAGGCGGAGATGTGGTTCCCTGTGAACGCTCATTCATCATGAGCTCCCGCTGGCTGCGCCCTCTGTCAAAGGCAGATTTCTAAGTCATCAGAAACTTGAGCACTTGGATAGCTGAGAGAGTGCAGCGAACCTTCCATTAGTCCCCGTACGCAGTGAAAACAGCCTGGAGTAAACTCAGGGGCACTGAGAACAGGTACTGATTAACCCAGAGATGAAAGCGTCATTTTGCAGTGTAGTAGGCTGCAATATACTTGCCACCTTTTAAATTTGGTTCTTGTCAGACGTAAGCAGAACTATTCTGTAAAAGCAACGTCGTCAAAGGAAGGTTGCTAAAAGCAAGGTTTAACTCAGCCGATTAGGATATACAAGGGGATGGTTACATGGTAACGGGCTGCCACTGGGAATGTGCCGATGTCCATTCTGTATCGAGGAGGGACACGTGGCCCAACTTCTAACCTGAAGGGATTCTAAAGGGCCTGGAGTGGACTAGTCAAGGATTTGGCTGAGAAGCCTATCCCCAAAACATACCACCTCTAATTTGTCCAAACTGCTTAATAGCCTCCGCTCTTTCAATCTCAGATCCTCTTCTTCTCTCACTGTTGCTACTCTTCAAATAGCCTGTTCCCCTCTACTTGGCCACAGATGACGCACTCTGGCATCCAGCGACATCGCAGTCAGGAAATGCAGACAGACCAGTGCTGATCACTGCCTCGGGCGGCTTTGAGAGATGGAGGAGAAAACTCCATCGCAGGGACATATATTTTTCTATCAGCACTGATCTGAGCCAGAAGAACCAGGTGGTGGGGATAAGAGGGCTAATCGAAGGCCATATATCCTGACGCTTTGTCTACATACAAACTTGCACCGGTTAGTCAAAGTGGTTCAAACCTGTGTGGATACTCTTGTTTCCATTTAAATCAGGCTTGTTTGGGAAATAAGACTGTCCACACAGCTTTTTCCACTGGCTTATCTAAGTCACTAACTACAAACCGAACCTTACACTATAAGCCTTCACTCTTCACAGTGATCGCTGTCTAGCACCTTTCAGAACAACTAGATTTGCTTTAAAAGTTAAATCAACACACCACCTTAATACTGTCATTTGTAGGTGGCTGTTGAACTGACAAGGGATCTTTTACACTGTTGTTCTGGATAACTGCAAATGTTCATGGAAAGCCATTCACATGAGTCAGACTAACAGACATCGGAATAAAGCTCCACGTTTTACAGATCTTTAAAACTAGACAACCCGACAGTCATTTTGAGTGTGTGTGTTCCATTTTGCAATTGACTTCAACTCCAAATGCTGAAAAAAATAAAAACAATCCCCAATACTTTTTGTAGGTCCTATTCAAATGGAACCAGCACACAAGCCACTCCTTGATTGCATTGAGTCCTCTGCATTCCTTATGCAACCAATCCTGTAAAGATCCAGCTCACGGCGACTAGGGCATTCTTAACTGGTGTAAATTGCCATCGCTCCACTGAAGCCAATAGAGAGATGACAATTTACATCAGACGACCGATCTGCCCAGTATCCTTCCAGTAGGCTGGGATCCAAGAGAAAGAGGCCAATCTTGTGGTTAAGGCACTGAGCTGGGACTCAGGAGATCAGAGTTCCATTCCAGACATACAAAACGTATGACCTGGAGCAAGTGACTCAATCTCTAAAATAGGGATAAGAAACCTTTCCTATCACACAAGACCGAAGGGGAGAAATCCATTCAGATTTCTGAAGTGCTCAGACATTGTGGCGATGAGTAAAGCCTATAAACCAATGTGGGGTACTTGCCTCGACCTTGATAGCACATCGTCCAATAGCTCGCACAGCCTTGCGGACAAAGTCGACATCCACCTCGGTAGCGTACTCCTTGAGTTCTGCCAGGACCTGTTGGGAAAAGCATCACACAAAACACGAGTCATTTGAGTAACATTTCCATTGTCCCCTCCTCCATCTCTACCTAGCCATGCTGCTTAGGTACTTGAAAATTAAATGACACTACCGATCCCTAGAGCGCAGAGAGCTTTAAATATTCTGGGCTCAAAGTATTTAGTTGGGTTAATGTAAAATGTGCCCACCCATAGTTCTAGGCACATGTACAACATTAACGCCGTCCTTAAACACCAAAAGCAGCCACTACATCCACCAACATTTAGCGAAGAACCAGCTTGGAGGAGACAATCGTCCAGTAGGGCCCAATGGACACAAGAAAGAAAGTAAGTTATGGGTTATTCTCAAATTGCCCATACCAAACCCTTGGCAACACAACCAGCCATTTTGGACTTCGGAGTCACTGCTTCTGTGGGGTCTATAAGGAGGTAGAGGAAGGAATGGGAGGTAAGTAGTAGGGTCCTGGATTATTCCCCGGTACATAGAGTACTTTTCTTCTCCAGTGCTGCCCATCCCTTTATCTATTGGCTCTGAGGGACACCAACAATCCTGTATGGAGACTGTAGCACAGCTCGTTATGCAGACAAGATTGTTTCTTGACACACAAAAAGTTGTAGGTAAAATAAAGTCAACTTTACCCCTTGCCTTGACTGCTATGGAATATATGGAAACCCTGCAAGAATTCTCTCCAGGAATTGCCAGGATCTTATAAGACTCTGAAGGATCATTTGGTTTAGAAACAGTTCTGCCAAAATCAAACCTTCTGGTTATTTCTTTTATTAGCCCTAAGGACACAGAAAGCTTTTTGTTTCCAAAGCTCATCCGCTCCTGCTTAAGTCTCACGTCGTTTTCCATGTGTGACATCAGGGACCTGCTGTGGATTTTATTGTGATGTCACAAATGCAATTTGGGTTGCAAGTGAGAAACAAACAGCACGAAATGGGAGACTTGTTTGAAGAACCTGGGCTCACTGCTCTGACAGGGTAAAAGGGCCCTGAAGTGGGTGAGCAACAAGCAAACAAACACAGCAGACGCAATGTGTGGGCAGAGCAGCTAATCTTTGCACTTGTATGAATGCAGTTTTAGTATTTCAGCGTATGATATTTTATATATGGCCACACGACAAACAGTGCCATCAATAGCTTCATAAGCAGTAGCTTACGTAGAGCTGTATTTCTGCAAAGTGCTGTACCAACACCAGCTACAGCTCAGAACACCTCAGAGGCAAGTATCCCCATGTCACAAATGGGGAAACTGAGGAACAGATTAAATATCTTGTCCCAAGTGGAAACACAAGAGTGGATCAGAGAGGGAGCAACGGGTTTATTCTCAGTAGCTTCCACTTTAGACCATTATTGAGCTCTGTGATTGAGCTTTGCCTGTTTTATAAACATGGCTTTAGAACCGGGAAGGGGACTTGAGAGTTCCAGGTTCTCAGCTTCTCCAAACTACTCTGCCTCTCTTGAAAATCAGCTGCATTATCTAGCAGAAGGCACTTCAAAATTTAGTGAAGGAATCTGCAGACCAAAATCCAAGAGGAGCGCTACACATATATATTCCTGGCACTTGATTTTTCCACAGATTTTCCATGCGCCCCGCAAATCAGACATGGGGCTGCCTTGCTCCATCACTTCCCATAAAGTGCAACACAAACAGCGATTTTAAGATGCCATATTAAACAAGAATATTTAGTTATAAATGGAACAGGATGGCACATCAGCAGCAACTGGAATCGCTCTGTGTTAACCAAGAGGGGCTAGTGCTTGAAATACACCCTAGCAGAGAAGGGATAGACCATGGTGGAATTTCAGATACTGGGATGACAGGACAGAAGCAGCATAGAATGGGAATATGAACATAGAGTAGTTAGGAAGTCACAAGTTCTAATCTCCACCCTGCCAACAACTCATATGCAAATTACTTCAGCTCTGTTTGTTTCTGCAACTCCGGTCTGTAAAATGTACCCCCTACCTAACAAGTGTGTTGTGAGGTTTGTACAATGCTATTAACATGTAAAACACTAAGGAATTTCCAACCCCTCCGTTAAGTAACTGCAGACCGTACACTGTGCCAGAGATAACACTGATTTGCTGCTGTTTATTGTACAGCAGTTCAGAGAACACTTTTAGAGGTATTAATTTGTGCATAAATCCTCCCTAACGGCACGCATTCTGGAGCTGGTATATACCATCTATCGGGGAGATGATCACAGTTGGAGTAACTGACCTGGGCAATGTTTGCCTGGGATGCCAGGCGGATCATGATGTCCAGCTTCTCCAGTTTGACATAGATGGGGTCGTTGTACTTCACAAAGAATACCTTGATTTCTTGCTTCAAGATTTCAGGCCTGGGGAACACACACATACACACAGCACAATTGTAACTCAATGACTTTCCATTTCAACAACGATGACCTGATTTTTAGGACCACCTTAGCTTTTGCTAAGAATACAGTGGTATCAGCGCCTATCAGTGATTTGAACAAAAATATATTAGAACTGCATTTCAAATTAAAACGCATCTTTTACCTCCAAGCCTTCTGATTTTTTATGCTGCTGGGTTCAAGCCGCTTTAACTCTGCCTACTTCCCCATCTGCCCTCCACCCAGGCATAACACCCTCCCAACACAGAATGCCACCTAGACAACCAGATTCTCTCCTTCAGTGGCTAGACACCTATATCAACATACAGCCACTTTTCCCAAGTGTACCAACTCCTGTGTCACACCCATCCCATGTTCTCAATATCATCAAGAGATCACAGTATTTGAACCTGCTGAGAAAACAAATGTTGATCCCTTCTCCCAGTTTAGATTCTTTGATTGACAGTGGAGGGAAGGCTCTTTTGTATCTCCATGGCAGGGAGAAGGGAGAAAAGGAATGCATGTCCCAAATCGCCTTCCCCAAGAAATCTTGGCTGGCTAAAGAAACACAACAGTGATGCTGGCAGAACCAATCAGCTGTAAAAACAGTCGATGACTCCAGCCGACAACTGTGTGTTCAAGGATACAGGAAACAGGACTAGTCAATCAACTCCTCAGACCCAGAGGTTGGGTCATCACAATTAGCACTCCTGGACACACAAACTTCTGAATGGATTAACTCAGCCAGATCCCCTTTCACCACACCCAGTGAGAGCAGCACTCTGGACTGTACCTTTTCTGCACAATTAAGTTGATGTTTCTCAGGGCAACATACTGAACTTCAGGCTCTCCGGACAGCAGCGTGACAAGCGGAGGGGCCAGTTTCTTCAGCAGCATGTTGTAATAGTCAGACTCCTTGGGTAAGAGCTCCAGGAACTTCATCAAGACTTTCACGGCAGAAAGCACCACGGCCGAGTTGGCATGAGACAGCCGGGGAGTCACCCGCTCACAGATGCTAGAGACAGAAAAGACTATGTGGATTTTCAGATTATTTCTGAATTTCTCCTATAAGCCCTCAGCTGAACAGGGGCGCCTCAGAAACACATGGACCCAGGAACCCATGGTTGGCAAGTAACCCCTTGCAGTCAGACGTCAGCAACGCCAACCGCCATATAAGGCAGCAACTGCATTTATATTCCATCCAGTTCCACACCCTGACTTTTAGAGAATTTAAATATGAAGAGTGAGCGGGGCATGTTCAGAGCTGTTCAGCAGGCAGCCCCATTCGGGTGAAGCTAAGACAACACAGGCCTGGTGCTTGGAGATCTCTGTAGGTTCCTAGACCTGATTAAGAGCCTGTTTTCTGAAACAAAACAAGGAAATCTTAAAACATCAAGGATGAGGGGAAAATTCATCCTACAGATATTTTTTTTAAGGGGATTATCTGTTCTGTCTCAAAAATGCAGGCACTGAAAAAACCCAGCAAATTAAAGCAGGCTTGCATAAATACATTAGGCTTGTGCCCTTTTAGCTTCTTTAGGAAGGATACAGAAAGCAGAAGGCGTTATTTTTTTTAAACAGTGCTTTTTTCTGCTTGTTTTTTCCCTACTATTCAGGATGTAGAGATTGGTCTTTCCTGGCTTTGGTGGAGGACCAGGGAAGGTCTAACACATGTTTGCTAGGACTTCTTAACATCTTAACTGAAGGGCGTGGGTGGGGGTAATGAATCTAATACAAGCTCTTCTTTTCAATGTCAGTCACTGAAGTTAAAGAGGTATTCCCAAAAACAGTGAGTTTTAAACAGTGACAGAAATCCCTTCCCCATTTCATCCCTCAACTTTATCGTCAGTCCCATGATGCCACAATTTAGACTAGTTTTCTTGGCACCATCAAATTTCCCAGCCTAGACAGAACCTGACATAGTGTGAGAAAACAAGCTGTTTTATACAAAGAAAACAAAAAAGTCTTTCAGGCCCCTCTTTACATACAAAGAGCAAAAAAAAAGGGCACAGAGCCCAATTTTTTTTCTACGTCTCCTTTAAGAGGCATAGTCCTACCAGCTTCTGGGTTGTGCAAAGTGCATGTGCCAATTGTCATACCACCATTGGTTTTGACGGATCCATTGCTGGACCGGTGGTTTGCTATGAAGAGTTTAGCCCTTTAAAGGAACCATGGTGAGCAGAGAGGTGGGATCTGTGCAACTTAGTAGCAGTTCCCAATGGATTCTTGTGTGTGCAATACCTGGAATATCAAACTCTCACGGCTTTTCAAGCTGCTTTATTTGAAGACTATTCGAGGCCCGTATCGCAGCCCATTATATCAAGCTCCCACCCTCAGACAGGTGATGGGACACTGCAGCGAATCCATCAGAACTTTTACTTCAGAAAGGCCACTAGCCACACATGAAGGTGTGAGCCAGCGCGTATACCTCTGAGCCTCGCGGTCATCCTTGGGGTTGTAGTTAGACAGACAGTCCAGAATGAAGATCTGGCCCCATTCGGTGCATTCATTCAGGGCCGTCAGCAGCTTGTTAATGTTCTGAGGGTTTAGATCCAGCAAGTTACTGTTGGGATGCGACTCGCTGATCTCCGACAAGGCAGCCACCGCGTTAGCCACCACCTAGGAGAGGAAGAGAAGAGGAGAGGCATTCACGGTTCGTGTGTCACCCAGGACTCGAGGGATTAAACTTGGCTTAGCACACGTTATGCAGCTGGGCCATGTTTGAGACTTTGCCTCGATGTCATGGCCTATGATAAGTAGCTGTCACCAAACCCTTCAGAGACCCATGTTAATCTGACAGTGCAGTGGCAACTCATGGGAGACCCAAAGTTTCAAGGCAATCTTGCAATTTGCTCTTCATGGGCTACCCAAAGTTAGAGTCCCTCCTAAAATGCTCTGGGTAGCTGAGGGAGGAAGGAGAGGGAGAAAAAGTGCATTGCTGTTAGGAGACCACTGCTGATAAAGCATGAGACCACTAGGGGCCCACAGCAGAGCAGATGGTGCAGAGAGCATCATGTCCACGGAGGATATGTAAAAGATGGTCAGGTAGAGAGAGGCTAAAGGCATGGCCTTTCCGTGCTGTCCAAAGGAACATGGCCTTTCCTACAAGCACTGCCTTTTGCAATACTAATTCCGGGTATGCAGCCAAGAAAGATGTCAGTACACAGTGGAGCAGTGGTGTGGGTCAGGTGGGCAAAACACCCCAGCTAGCTACAGGCTTCAAACATCTATTCAGATTGACAGGATCTTCCCGACCTTAACTTGGGTTGAGGCCAGCCTCTCTCACTTCCAACGAGGAGAGACGGTTAACTCTGTTCTTTGTTGATCAGAGTCTGCCGCGTGACAGGGGAACCAGTTTCCCTATGGGCATTGGAAGTGGTACATGAAGCCTATTTTGCCCCCTAGCCAGTCCCTGTAGGCCTCAGTCTGAGCTGTTTGGATGGCACTAGAACGTCGACAGAACTTTCTTCCTATGTGAAAAGCACTTACTAAGAAATGAAAACTCTCTATCACACGGCAAGGATCTGCCGAGGAACCCAGTTTGAAAGGAGGCAACATGCAGATTTTGAAGCAGGTGATTCTCCCAATTGGTTGTCTAACAGACAAGAACCGTCCCTGATTCCAAGTCCTTCCCACTACAATCATTTGTCTACCAGGTGCTGTACAGGATCTAGTTACTGCAAATACTGCAGTACATTACACACGGTAGTAGCCAAAGCACATGCCCGGACTTCTAGTCCGCTGTAGCAGCGTTCACTTGGGACGTTACCGCCTGGCGATTCACAGCCTGACTTGCCGGGCAGTAGCAAGCCCCTAGTTCCATGCTCAAATCACAAGACCTTCCCTCTCTCACATGCAATCTGGGAGTTCGGGAGCTGTATATCCTAACCTGGCGTCATAGGAAGATTCTTAATACAGAACAGCTACCCAATATATCAGCAAAAAAGCTTCTGTCGCTGAAAATCCACATTGGGTGCTATGGAGCTGTAAGCCGGAGTTCAACACATAGAACTACCCAATATCACACTATATAAAACTCTGTAAACTGGAGATGATGCTGACCTTTCCCATCAAGTGCTTTTGTAACACCGACAGACCCCGGTCATTGGCGGGCGGGATCAAACCTGAGACCTCTGGAGCTAAACGCATGAACCTCTACTGCATGAGCTAAAAGCCAACTGGCTGTAGGGCAGATTCAATCTCTCTCTCTTGGTCTCAGTGTCACTAGATGGGACAGAACACCACACCCAGGTGTGTGGGTTACACTTTGAGAACTACTGATGAAAAGTGCCATATAAGAGCTAGATATCATTTTCATTAGAGAGATAAAAACGGAATACAACAATGCACATCGTATGCAGGGAAACCCACATCTAATGTTCATCTGCTAAAGCGTCCCCCAGGTTTCTAGTACTAAATTGTTTGACCGTCGGTTACAGAACCACCTCTATAAAAGTCTGCTGCTCCACTGGATGGTTTCTTTAGGTTTCCCTGTACACTGCTCTGAAAAGGACACGAATATTGCAAATACAATCCTGCAAAAGTTTTACAAAGCATCAGTCACCAGTTGCTACAGAACCAGTGTTCCAGAACCACGGCACGCACACGCGCGTACGTTCGCTATTTTGTATTTCAGCTCTAGATGCCATAATGCTGAGTGCTTTAAAACAAACCCTAGAGATTGATTTCCTTAGCTGAGCGATTCTTCCATTGCTAACCAAGAGAGGATCCTCCATGCTGACTGCCAGCTGCCAATGCCACTCTGATCTAACCAACAGCCTCCTCGGATTCCCTGCTCAGTCATCACACTAGCTAATTTATTTATACATCCCAAACCATGCACTCCCCAACGGCATCAAGTGGCATCTTGCTCCTGTTTGCATCAGACCTGTTTCAGGACCTACCTATCCATCATAAATCACACGGCACAACGAGGACTAATGCTGGGCCTGGGTCAGATTTGATACCCACCCCCAAAGCATCTTGGGGGCTTCAGTCTCTCCTTTACTAATCCCAGACAAAACCCCTGGTCTGAATCACTATCACAAACTGGCTGATTTCACCTCTCACCTGGCTTTTGGCAAACGTCACATTTAAACACCATTCCAAGGCAGTTGTAGCAAATGCAGTTTATAAGAGTCTGGCCGAACGGTGATAATTTTGCATTTAGGCTCGGATTCCCCCAGGGAGTTGGGCACTCAAATGAAGTTTCAGTGGGATCTGGACACTTAAATCACTGAGGCGCCTTCAAAAATCCCATGCTGGAGGCTATTACAGTGTATTTAACACCATAAACATACATGGTGCATTACAGCACTAGTGAGAACCATTCTCTGGAGCTAATCTAACAGGCTCCACCAGGCCCCGGAGAAACCTGCGTTAAGCAGCTGTGCTGCATTTGTGAATGTTCCCCTCTGGCAGCTCAGCCACACAGCTCAATGCAAATGGCAGAGGGAAATATATTAACAAGGGAGCGGGAGGTGGCTGGGTGGGAAGAGAGTGGGTCTTTCTCTACCAACCTCCATGGAAAGGGGCGGGAGTGGAGGTAAACCAGGAGGGGAGACAGGATACTCACCAGAATGAGCAATCAGATTACTTTGTTATTATCTAAGGCTAATTGGAAATTAAACCAAGTGTGTAATGCAGCTAATGAAGTGTAATGTTCTGCTGCTTAAAACAGGAATCTTCCACTTACTAGCCCATTAAAACGAGGAAGAAAACAGAGAAAAGCAGGTGAACAGATTAAGGAGCTCCAGAGAGATGTGGCTGGCGGGTTTATATGCAGAGAGAAGCAACCAATGCTCACCAAGGAGGCTGTCCTCAAAGCCCGCTCCCCCCCTCCCCCCGCACCACCACCAGCCTGATCTTGGATGTACAGCAGCCTCTCCCCACGTGGTACTTCTCAGGATGGAGGGAGCTGTTGGCGTTTTAAAGCTGCGTATGGGGCATATACAGTGCGTTTGTTTCATTACAAAGACACCCAACCTGGGAGGCTATGGGCATTTGCACGGATACGTATCTGAAAGATCATTCCTACAGCCACAGATGCAATTTGACTTCTCGGTTGGGAGATGGGCGAAGCAGCCTTTCAGTATCAGAGCAAGCGTCCAGCTCCTTGGAGGATAAGATCCACACGATTTACACTAGAGTGGCTTTAGCACCAACACTGACAGGTGCTTTAGGATCTTCTGCTCATACTCAGTCAGACCCCTTTCCTACAACAACTCACCTCAACATTGCAATTTGCCTCCCGCACAACAGTTGAAGATACATTCAGGTTAAATGGCGCAAGTGGCCGAAGCAGAAAGCTCAGATTAGGGCCACCGGGCCCTTCATCCAGTTTATTTATGTGATAGGCGCAGGTGACCTCTAGCTAAATGCCAAGGACTGTCCCTGCCCGGTGATTGGAACAGGCACTGCCCTGGTCTGAGCACAGGATTGAAAACTAGTAACTCCCCATGACACAGATTTCCTCTGAAGCTTCGGGGAAGTCATAGTCCTCCACTTCCTTTTCCCCTTCAGCGGTACGGCGCGTGAACGTCTGACGTGCTTGGAGGTTAAGTGCTATATAAGTGATCAGTATTTAATCCAGTCCTGAAAATGGCTTTCCACGTTTGTTTAAACCATTAAACATCCTCTAACTTGCTCTTTGTGGCAGTGGGATTGGTTTTTTGGGTGGGGTGTGGGGGGTGGGAGAGAAGGGAAAATGATGCTAGATTTCAGCAGGCACTTATTTTGTGCAGTGGGATGGGTTTTAGGGGAGAGAAGGAAGAGGGCCTAGATTTCAGCAGGCATGCTGGAGCACATTTATTTTTTAAAGTCTTTCCCCTTCCCTCCAGGCAGCGCTAGCCTGCTGCTTTCTGCCAGACTAAAAGATCATGCTCCTTCTCATCTCGCTTTGGGGAATGAGGGGGTTTTGGCAGCGTGATGAGAAGCAAGATTCACTCTAGCTTTAAACTCTGCTTGATGAACTGCTCTTTGCAGGCAGCAGAGAAACTAGCTAGGGACGCACACGCTGACCTCAACACTGTGAACTGTTTGCTTCTCTGGCGTGGCTGTGAGCACATCGTGCAGGGAACACAGAGCTCTGCTGGACGGCTGGGATAGCCTGCACTGCCGTAAGACTCCCTGTTTAGTGCTGTTTCATCCCTCCACCCCCACCCCGCCACCCCAAAAAGAATTTCCAATCCTACTCACTCAAGTATTCATCATCTCCTACCAGGGTTTGTCTGACCACTTTCCCAAAGAGGCACTTTGAAATCTCCCTTGCAGTTGCTCTCTCTGGCGCCATCCACTGGCAAAAAGATTATCACTGTCCTTGCACAGGCATGTTACAATTTAAAACAGAGTCATTAGACACTGTCCAAGCCCTCATAACCCAACCAAGCTAGGTCTGGGCAGCCATGTAGACAATACTGCTGGGAGAAGGAGCCCAGAAGCTGAAGGAAAGGTCACGTTTTCTGACAAGTGCATACTTCAGGCATAGCCAGCAAACAACAGCTGAAAAAATGCCATTCTGTTCCAAAAAATAAAAGCCAGACACCCATCGCTAGATAAAGCTGCCTCAAAATCAGAGCATTGATTGATATTCAAGATCTTGGAATGATCCATTCAGCTAA